ATAGTGAGTTCCAGGACAGCTGGGGCTAGAGGGAGACCCTGTCTCAAAAAGACCAAAGTAAAATAAAAAAATAAAGGAATGAACGCATGACATTTGCCTCAGCACAAACCCTGAAAACAAAAACACTGGGCATTAGACAGATGGGCCACATGTAGATGAGTCTGCTGTAAAATGTCCATAAAACAGGTCAGCAGTTGCCAGGGGCAGGAATGGGAACGGAGAATGACTGATAAGGGACATGCAGGATGTTTGTGAATTGTGAGATGGCTATTCGACTTCACAGACTTACTAGAAACCACTGAATAATACACCTACAACGGGAATACTTTATGTAAACCATACCTTAATAAAACTAGTTTTTGTTGTTGGTCTTTTTGAGACAGGGTCTCCCTCTAGCCCCAGTTGGCTTGGAACTATGCAGACCAGGCTGGCCTCAATCTCAGAGATCTGCCTGCCTCTGCCTCCTTTTGCCTCCACCTCCCAAGCGCTGGGATTAAAGGTGTGCACCACCAAGCCCAGCTTAAAATTAGTTTTTGAAAAACGTGGGAGGAAAAATTCTTTTACGCCTTACCACATGAAGAGAACCACTATGAACTTTGGTTTTTACTTGCATATAGAGACTTCAGGTTTTAAATGGTTTAGTTCATATGCTTCATTTGCATCTCATTATACCTTTAAAAAGAGGAGCAAAACTGTATGGTTCTCATTTCACAGCAGCATGAATGATAAAATGGGAAGACCATCTTAAAGACCATCTAGCATTTTATCAGATTTGGGTTTCAGTTTCCTTTTGTCTAGAGCAGAGATTTAAGTGGCTCTTCATTACCTGTTCTAGTTGTGCATCCCGTTTGTGTGTTTTAATGACATCTACTACAACCTGATAATGGCAATTAGAAATAACTAAAAGTTGTGAACTAAATTTGGGCTAGGTATGTGGACTTTCATTCAATTAAAAAAAAATTCTAAGCCAGGCATGGTGGTGCCTGTCTTTAATCCCAGCGCCCAGGAGTCTAAGACTGTGGCCAGTCTGGTCTACACAGCAAGTTCCGGGGGGGGGGGGGCACAGAGACTTTGTCTCAAAAAACTCAACCAAACCAAACTATTATCTCCCTTTACTGGTAAGAAAACTAGCATTAGGGAGGTTAAGAAATCTTGTCTTAGAAAGTGGATTAGAAATTACCAAGAGCTGGGGGCGGGGCAGGAAGGAACAGAACAGGGAGTTAATTGCTTAATGGTTACAGGGTTCCTATTTGGGATGCTGAATGTTGGAACAGATACTGCAATGACTGTACAGCACTGCAGATGTGTCATTAATGTCACTGATGTGTGCATGATGAAAACAGTGAACATTTTATTTGATGAAATTGTATTAGGCCAACCTATCTACCAGTCAGGGTGCTGGCTCACTCACAAGCTGTGCCTCCTCAGCCCCCTTGCAGTGGTTGGGACTGAATCCAGGGCGTTGTACATGCTGGGCCAGACCTCTACCATTGAGCAACAGGTATCTAGTAGACAGAGAGAGGCCTAGACTTTTATCAAATTATTGTCATTCATGCCTTCCTTATTTCTGTTTGGCTGCTTTTGAAAAATTTTTTTTTACAAGTCCATAATTACTTTTGATACACTCCCCAAAATCTAATTCCCTCTCAAAACTCTAAGCTGGAATTAAGTGTACTAGGAAGTAGGTCTCTAGGATGGAAACTGGCTGTAAATTCAGATTTCACCATGACTTTGCTGAGTGTCTCTGGGTATAGTTTCAAGTATTCTGCATATTCTGCCATTTCAAAACAATGGCAGTCTGTTGGTCTGTAGTTTGGTTGATCCCATTCCTCGACTCAAGCTTGACTCTGTCTAAGAATCACATATGCAGGGTCAAAGCAGTAATTTTAATGTGACAGAATAAGGTCCAGTGATTGAGAATTTTAAGCTCAGGGGCTGAGCTATCTATGTTCTGGGGACAATACGCACAAGAGTAAACTAATGTGAAATATAGGTCTATAGTTTGTTTTCTTCAAATCAGTGGTATAACAATTGTCTCAGCTAGCTCTCCTTCAACTCTCTACAAGATCAAGGAGTAGATAGGCTACACCCGAAGAAATACTCTGCACGGCAGAGACTGAGGATGGCCAGTTACTGTAAATGAAAGCCAAAGTTGCTCTTCTGCACACAGGAAGAAACTGTCACCATTGGGTAAAAAAGAAAGATACAGACTTTTCACTTAAAGAACATCTTTATTTGATCTTCAATATACATTACCTTTTATTTATTTAAAAAAATCACATTATGGAGGACATGACTGGAAACCAGTTCAGGAGCAGCCAGTGGGTAACAACTCAGGAGGTTATACTTACCCACTTAGTGGTTTAGGAAAAATTATCAGTGAGCGTAAAGAATGGCATTTCAACTTCCTAATCCAACAACTCTAACTGAGGATACTTTAATCCAGCAAAAAACAATTTTTAAATTTCTAAAATATTTTGTCAATGAAAAGCTTCACTTTTCATGGTTTTCTGGTGTGTAATATGCAGAATTCTGAAGCATTCAAATGGCCACAAGGCATTTGTCTCTGCAAATATGGATGCTGTGTGTGTGTCTGGAGTACCAAAGCCTATATTCATAGGGAGTGGATGTGACCTTTAAGTAGGCTGAACCCAGAAAAGCAACTCATTCACACTGTGACTGAAACATGGTATCTCTGTCCAATCATTCTGAACACAGGTTTCTCCTCTACATTTCCAAAACTGGCACACTGCAATGTTTATGCTGGTAATACAGCACTCTGTAAGTTTAAGGATTCCATGAGTTCTGCAGTCACTGGGAGAGTATAAACATACTCTCATACCAAGTTTGGAATGGATTCGCTGTTAAACAATGGAAGTATAAAGCTGAGGCTGAGGGATGCTTAAATGGAAAATGGTGCACACGGACACACTTGTGAAGGTGTTGTGGAGAGTCAGGAAATGAAGTCACTCCTCAGATGTAAGCTGTTCTAGAGGTAAGGGGCAGTAAGCACCACTTGCAGACTAACAGTGGCTGCACCAAGTGGCAAATGAGGGACACAACTCATTTTCTGTTGCCTACAATTTTTCGAAAGGTTAGTTTCTGCAGCACCAAGATCCAAATTCTAGTATATTCTTGTCTGGGAGCTCTAAGAGACCCAGGTGGATAAATTTCTGAGGTTCCATCCAATGGGTTCCATCCATTAAATTTGGTTCAATCCAAAGTCCTACTCCAAAATCCATGAGCAGGTGGAAGTCAGGCAGAAAGTAATGTTCTGATGCCTTACAGATCTTTTTTACACAAGGAATCTGGAATCGTGACATTGACTAACATGGTGAAGACAAGGCTAAAGCCTAACCTCCCATTCTGCCTCTTCCATGACAGTCACATTATCCTGAAATCCTAAGAGATCTGGAACATATGTCTACTTTAAAGACAACAAACTATACAGCTTTAGGTAACACAAATACATACAATTGTACATAATCTTTCTGCTTTAAAAATGAAATTCAAATAAAAACAGTGAAAAGATGTAGAGCAGAGGTTAGAGAGTCTTACACAAATTAAACCTGGGATCAGGGCAGCAGTGTCCATCCAGCCCTCCCTCCAGTTCTTAAATTAAGGTTTACGAGACACAGCTAAGTCCATCAGCTGCATATTATCTACAGCTACTCTGACACTTCGGCAGCAGAACTGAAGAATGAGAGTGCTGCAGAGTTTTCGGAGCAAACTTAAAATACATATTATCTTGCCATTTATAGAAAAGCCTGCTGACTGTATTTAGAGCAAAAAGAACATCTGTACCCGGATTTGGATGAGCTGAAGGACAGAAAACATCACCAGTGTTCCTGAACCACAGGAAGTGAACTAGGGTATCTCCAGATCAGTTGTGATTACCTAAGTACTCTGCTTACAGTCTGTATAACCCAAAGCTGTCTATCAGTGAACAGACACCATTCAGAATCTGTGTGTACTTTCATGCTGTATGTATGCATGTAGAGTGGACACAACAGGGTTGGCCAGTTTCAGGGTAAGGAGACTTAAAGAAAAGAAGAACTAAATATATTACTGTTATGCACTATTAATTGGAACTTAGAAACATTTTAGCATTTTTTTTCTATTTAAGATATTTAAGTACTACCATTGATAGGATGTGTACTAGAGAAAAGACAATTTACAACTACAAGTTTTACCTATGAGTTAGGTGACAAAAAATTTTTTTGATTATAAAATAATGAGCACTTCTACAAAATAGTAATTTTAATCATGTAATTAAAGTGATATAGCAAAATAAGAATGTTTATTTCTAAAGTAAATATTTTAGTCAAAGTTGTATCAGAAATCAGATATTTCTTTGACATTTTCCAAGGGACTTTAGTCATTAACTAGAGTTATAGTTGTTAGTATTATATAGTAACACATAGTTTAAAATATAAACCTTTTATCTTCCTTTTAAATTTAAATGAAATATAAAATTAAGAATTTTGTGACATGATTCATTTTGGAAAACATTTAAAATGGTAGGAACTACTCTCATACAGGAAATGCCATTGGAATCCTGTGAAATGTCCTAATGCTTGAAGGTGCTAGGCTTGGCACATACACAATATTCTGTCATCTCTGTTCACTCATTCTCTCATGCACTCATTCAAAGAGACCCAGCGTAAGGAGAGTCTGCATCATAAGAAGACAGCAAGCACATTCTTTTATCCACAAACTTGAAGTTTTGATAAAGACTTTGGCAAAGACTGGGAGAGATGAGATGCTAAGGATAGAGATCCCAAGCTGCTTGAAAATCTACCAAGCCTTAGGTGACATCACAGGAACCCAGGATCAATATTCTGCGAAAAGAATGCATTTCTTCAATACCCAGGTTTTTCTTTACATAAGACAGGAATAGGCTGGGAGTAGACACATACAAAGTGTACAGCCCACCAGAGTGAGAGCTCTCTGGCGAAGGACTTACTTTTCTGCATGGAGGCTTCTTTTTGGTGAAGGGCTCATTCTCTTATTTTTAACTTCAAATTGGTTCAGTAATTTCTTTAAAAAATCTGATTTGAACCAAAAGGCATGATTCTAAAATGAGTAATAAATATGAAAGATAGAGGGTGGTCAACATTCCTTTCTCGTCCCCTTTTATGTACTATTTATCCACATAACCGTGCCCAACACAGAAAGTAAGGTGTCAGCTCTTTGAAGAGGCACTAGGTACTGGGCATTTCTGGGTTCTTTCTGAATTTTATAGATTCAGTGAGTATCAAGTCTAAGTACTGAGGCCTACAAAATACAAAGGGTATGAAGAAAGGAAGAAGGTAGACTCTTGAAAAGTAAACAAAGCATGGACAAGGATTCTGGAAAAAAAAATTTAAAAAGCTATACCAAAAATAAAACATGATGCTGGCAAGTCAATACCTTTGGTATTCAGAGAAGTGAAAGAGTTACTCCAAGACCCAGTTCTTACCACAAAGGTGGGGAATGGTGAAAATGACCTACAAAGCTTTAGAGCAGAGCAGGCCCTGCTCCCAGCATCCTCCTGGGGAAACAAGGTGGCCCCCTTCACTCTACCTTCTTATGAACAAAGTCAGACAGTTTACTGCTCACTACTCTGGGTCTTTGCCAACTTAAGATTTTCACTTAATCTTATGACTTATAAGTGGGCTTGTGCTATTTTTAGAAGGCTAACTTTTATCTGAGAACCAAAACCCTTTTTATCTTCTAAAATACCTACCTTTCTCATTTGCTTTTTAAAAAAATTTCAAGTAGTAAAAGATATTACAATTTCAGGGTTGGGGATTTAACTCAGTGGTAGAGTGCTTGCCTAGCAAGCACGAGGCCTTGGGTTCGGTCCTCAGCTCCGGAAAAAAAAAAAAGGTATTACAATTTCAAAATATGTGCTAGAATTTAACCCTCTTAAAGGCTGTTTAACTCCATCTCTACATGCTATCTTCTATAGGTACTGAACAATTTTCAGGAGGGTGAACTGTGAGGATCATTTGATGATTTATGGTGTAAGATGATCACCCTTATAAAATGTTTAATTCTATTATTTTTTTCACAATTTAAATCTGTTATATGCTAAAAGAGGGTTAAAAAGAAAAGCTACTAACTAAGGAAATAAGCTTTCAAAATTCCAAAGTGGAGTTCATGTACAAACTTTTTCATGAAATATTCAAATTCAGAGTAAATACTAGACTACATTGTTTTCAAGTTTTATTAATGTCAATAGATGATGTCTGTACTAAATGAAAGAGGACAAGTGTCTTGAATTATCATGGAAATTCAAGGGACAGAAAATTTATAAGCATTAGCATTTATCTTACATTATAGTCTTGATAAAATTTAAGGTTTTATTCTTCCAAAATATAGAGCAATAATAATTTTCTTAAGAAATATCAATGCAAAATCTACAAGTCCCTTAGCTTTATCCAAATTTTAGTGAATATGATTAATTACACTGCACATTTTCCACTGGAAATTATTTTGAAGCTATTCTATTAATTCTTTGGATATATATAAATATTCTTGGAGAAACTAAAACAATATGACATATTTGTGAACGGCTCACTCCCATGAGACAATAAATAAGGGAACCTGACCCCATTTCAGATCAAATGCTTGAGGACGTTTCATGGTGCTGTGCTTCTGCCTTAGTAAGCTGTAAAAGTAATTCAGTTTGTTATAGCAAATGCAGAGCTGCAGAGTAGCACAGTGAATTTTGCCAAGCCACATAGAGGTGTAAGGTGAGTGAATCTAGTAACTGTATCATGAGACTAAAGTGGATAAAATTTGCTTGGTAGATTCGCTGGTTCAGAAGAAAAAATTTTCTACCAACAGAACCAGGGGTTTCTCTAAGAACAGGTTTCAAGGCAACAAAGTGGCACTTTCCCCACTCTCTGTCATGCTACCAACACTGGAGTGAATACATGCACACAGTTCCAAACTCAGGCTCATAAGCAGCGGTTATCAGTTAGGATAAATACCAGTTTCATTGATACCAGATGGACAAAGACTTGAAGGGTATTTCAAGCGTGAGATCATGCCCCCAGAGAAAACTGAATTTAAATAAGAAATTTCAATGAACTGGGTTGGGATTGAAATGGTTGTCAGTCTGGTAAGAATCCAATGGGGAGTTTGAAAATTCAGAGACAGGTATTTCAAGGCTTTTTGCTATGGATATAGTTACACTGCTCTTTTGTTGTTCTTCATCTTAGTTTGCTCCATTAGTAAAATGGAGAAAAGGGGGATAAACAATGTATAATATCTGATTTGAAAGCTGCCCCACTGTGGGAGGAAACAAATATGTAATTGGTTCCAAAAGCCATTCCTAACTCCCTTCAAGGTGCTCTATGTTCTTGGCTTGCACTAACAGTACAGAATAGAAATGGTTTCTTATGCAGCCATCTTATTAAGAATCAAAGCACATCAGGTTTCTGTCCTATACGTACCAGAACATGTTTTGGTCAGGTATAAAATGGAATAATTTCAAAGTTCATATATCTACAAGTTGAAAAGTCTTGCAGGGAAGAGTTTTACCCTGACATGTTGACTTAGAGGTCCAGGTTTTCAAAAGTCACCTCTCCAGACAATTTCTGTAGTGGTCCATGTAAACAAAATTCAGGTAAGACTGGTCCTTCTGGAGCTGTGTTCATCGAACTGCAGAGTTACCTGAAAGAGTGATGTTGGCTAAATTTAACACCGGCAGGGGGTGAGCCTCTGTGTTAAACACCCAGTGGTCTAATGGTAAAAGGTCATCACCAGAGAACAGCAGGTACAAGTATCTGAAAATAAAAGGCAAAATGAAATTCAATTAGAATTCAATGACTCCTCACGTGACTGCAGACAAATCCCGTAACTGATTCTGAGCAGTTCTGATGAAGAACATCACAGATGCCCAAATACCCAAATGATCTCAGCACAAATCATTTTGCTCCAGAACAGAGCACCAGGAAACCCAGAGAGATGCACAGCTGGACGTGCTGAAATAAAAGTTCCTGAAAGTCACACATAATATCAATCGTAAGTTTTGGCAACTTGCAGGATCAAAAGAGAACCCAACATCCACATTTATTAGCAAATACTGAGGAAAATCTGAAATTCATTTTAATGACTAATAGCCAAAGACTCCTCTGTGAGCATTATAAGCCACCACAGTCACGTCGACATCAAGCAAGAGCCAATACACACAATGATTCTTACTTATAGTCAGGAAAATTCCAATCTGAATCTTATTTTTAAAGGATCACCAAAGTGAACATAAAAATCTACAGCCGGGTATGGTGCCACATGCCTTTAGTCCTAGCACTCGGGAGGTAGAGGCAGGCGGATCTCTATTGAGTTCAAGGGCAGCCTGGTCTATGTAGTGAGTTCCAGGACAGCTGGGGCTACAGGGAGACCCCATCTCAAAAAGACAAAAAACAAAAAACAAAAACAAAACAAAACAAAAAACGAAAAAACAAAACAAAACAAAAAACCCAAACTACAGTCAGGAGCTAAGAGCTATAGGACTCAGCTATTGTAGCACCTGCCTAGCATGAACAATGCCCCGGGTTCCATCTTCAGCACCATAAAAACAAAACACAACAAAATTTAAAAAAAATAAAAACTAAAAACTGTCAGAAAACCTAGGTTCTAACTCTTGATGCCAGCAGCAACTAGCTTTACAAAGTGCCAACAAAGTACTACAAAGCAAGCACATTAATGTCTCCTGGTTACTATTATAGTTCTGCAAATGAAAGCAGAAACAGAGCACAGGGTGAAGGGGACTGTGTATCACCTTCAGAGCTAGGAACGCTGAACAGAGAGCAAGAGGGCTTCCTATGTTGCTCTTGATCCTACACCTTGACACCACCTGACTGATTTATTCACCAGGCTGCCAAGAGAAAAGCTGCAACCAACGTGGCTGTACACAGCAGGGGACTGCACAGATCGCATGGTCTGTTTTCCATGTGGAGGCCATGTAACCCAGGGTGTGGCTCCTGGGCTTGGTGCACCACTCCCGCCTCCTGGTCAGTGTAGGCTGATGAAGATCGGGAGCAGCCCAATGTCATCACACCCACAATCAACATCCTTACAAATAAAAGGAAAGAGAAATTTGGACCAGAGATACAGGGAAGAAGGCTGAGCATCTTTTGATGTGCTACTTGTCACCTTTACAATCTTCTTTGGTAAAATACGTGCTCAAAAATTTCACCCAGTTTCTAACTGGTCTGCGGGTTCTCTTTGCTGAGTTCAGAATTCTTCGTATGCTGTAAATACAAGTCCTTTGTCGGATTTGCTTTGCAAAGATGTTTATCCTAGTATGTGGCTTTTCTTCATTTTCTCAACAATGTCTTTGAAAGAGCAGATGCTTTTCATTTTGACACTAATTATTTTAATGGCCTTTGCTTTTGGTGTCACATCTAAGAAATCTTTGCCTAGCTTCATGTCATAAAGATTTCCTCTCATGTTTTCTTCTTAAAGTTGTATGCTTTTTTTCTTTAATATTATTTTTTTATTTTTTTAGAAGAAGCATGTCATTACAGCTTTAACATGCCCCAAAAGTTGTATGTTTTTAAAGTGTTAAGTTTAGGTCTATGACTCATTGTAATTTAATTTTTCATATGAATTCAGAAATTCATGTTTCAGCACCATATTGTCACTGCCTTTGTGGAAAGTCAGCTGTCCACACATCCATGGTGTCCTCCACAACTCTCCACTTTACCACTGATGACTCTACAGTACACTAGTATTGCCCCGTTTGATCAATGCAACTAGTTGTCTTCAAGTCAGCTATGTCAGGGTCCTGACTTTGCCCTTTTTCAAACTTGCTTTGCTTATTCTAGGTCCTTTGCATTGAGAAATAGCATGCCTATTTCTTAAAAACAAAACAAAACAAAACAAAACAAAAAACCAAACTGGAATTCTGAGTAGTCTTTTATAGTATCAATAAGCTAATTTGGGGAGAATCTGCATCAAGTTTCCAGAATCGCGAACATTTATTTAGCAATTCTTTTGGCAATGATTTTAATTTTCAGTGTGCAGTTCTTTCACATTTGATCAAGACTGCAAATAAATATCCCGTATCTTTGTATGATACTCTTTATTTTTTTTATTTATTATTTTTATTTTATGTGTATGAGCGTGTTGCCTGCATGTGTGTGAGTGCAACCATGTCATACAATGCCACAGAGGTCAGAAGAGGGCTTCGGATTTCCCTGCAACTGGAGTTAAGAAGGGTTCATAGCCGCCATGTGGGTGCTGGGAATCAAGCCCAGGTCCTCTGCAAGAGCAGTCAGTGCTCTTAACCGATAAGCCATCTCTCCAGCCTGAAACTCTTTATTTTCAATTTCTGGTTGGTCAATGCTAATATGTATGATTATGTTTAATACACTGAGCCTGTGTCTGAAACCTTGCTAAATTCATTTATTAGTTTTAGTATCTCTGGTAAGTTCCACAGGATTGTCTACATAGATTATCATATTCTCTCTTAAAAACAGTCTTACTTCTTCCTTTCCAGTCTGGATGTCTTTTTGCTTCTTTTTCTTATCTTTTGCACTGGCTAAAATCTCCAGTACAATGTCTAACAGAAATGACAAGAGCAGCTATCTTGTTACAGGTGTCCTGCTACTGATCCCAGTCTTGTTACTGAAAAGGGAGCCAATACCCTTTACAGCATGATGTTAATTGTTTCTTCATATGTACTCTTTACCAAGTTGAGGAAGTTTCCTTCTGTGCCAGGTACTTTCTCAAACTGGCTCCTTTGTTTTACAGAACTGATCTCTGTTTTACTTCACCTACTAACCCTTACATTTCACTTAGCATTATTTCAGTCTCCATGACTACCCAAGTACTGACATTTCTACTTTAAGAAGCAATCAATGCATTAAAACCATTTCAAATTTCATTTAATGATAAATCATTTGAGAGCTGTTTAATAAGAAAGATTACATGGAATTAGTTACATTAAGGAAAGAATTTTAAACTGCAGAGCAGTTAACTCCTTGATATTATAATTGTAGTCAAGTAGTAAACAATCACTTTTTTCTTATTTCTTTCAAAATAATATGCTTAATAAACCATCAAAAGCAAAGGGATAAGCAAAACGTTCACACTTAAACAGCAGACTACTGGATACTACTCATCAACAGAAAGGAATGAATTTCTGGTAACTATAACATGGACCGTTGTGATAATATGTATGCCCAACACAAAGTAAAACCTGCAGGATTCAAACGAATGAGTTTCTAAGCAGGCAACATATAGTGGCAGAAAACAGAGCAGCTAGGGTGTGCAGAAGACATGGCTGCAAAATGAGGATGGAAATGCACGTGGTATTTTCCTCCTTGTCTGAATGTTATAGAGCGTAAACTAAGGTAGCTAAGGTGACAAGCTAAGATGGTCATGCAATGGTATAATTTTAATAGGAATACTGTGCGGTCCATCACTGCACTGACCAGAACATGGCTACATCAACTGGGGTAGTAGTTACGCAGGGTACCGCACATGCCGAAGCTCAATGACCACTCACTAGAATACTTCAACAAAGCTATTTTAAAAGCCTAGAATAACCTTGTTATTGCCACAGCACAGTTTGTGTTAGAGCTCCCTCTACTGCAGCTAAAGAAACTGGCAAGGGAATTCTGATGTGTATAGTTCTGAAAATGAAAAATGCTTATAATTAAATGTTAAAAGTTAAAATTCACAATGTGTATGTCTCCCCACACCTAACATTTGGATTGCACTGTGACAGTTCCTCAAAAGGGTTAAAAACTTAAAGTCACGGTTTCGGCACTCCAGCATGTTGAGAGACGAGACTACACGGACACAGTAGCTGAGCAATGATGTGCAACATGACTTCATGATGTGCTAGCTGCCGTGTCAGCACAGTTAACTGCTTCCATAAATGTTTCAGCTGCCTAGAGCATCAGTGGTTCTCAAAGTGACACCCTAGATGAGCAGTGGCAATAGAACGACCTGCAAGCTTGCTAGAAATCCATGTTCTTGGGTGCAACTCCGGACTCAGTAAGAAATCCTGGAGAAGGAACCTTCTGTAATGGTTTTGATGCAAACTTTTCTAGGTTACTTTGTGGAACTTCTAACAAGAGTTCTATTCCATTTTCCTTTTTCATGAGGGCATCTGAAATTCTGACTCTGCTGAATACAGACCCACAGCACTAATGCTTCTCATTTTCACTGCCTGCCTTGGGCCCTTCTAGCTTTATTAATTCCTTGACCCATTATTAACCACCTGTGGCACTAAATGAAAGCTATCCTTTGAGTCCCAACCAGAAAATTACATGGCCTATTATTTTCTTAATCCCATCTCTACTTTTGTAAGGCCTTATACAAAGTAACTACAGCCTTTTTCAGCTGTCTCTCTTGGAATCAAGTGATTATACTCTTTATTTGGCATATATTTAATATTGAAACTTGCACGGGTAGTCCTAATGTACATGATGAGGATAGAATTTATATTCTACTTTGGGAATGTTAAAGAAAACTGTATGCTATGTTAGAAGACAGGTGCTATAGAGAAAAGTATGAAAAAAATGGCTAAGGAGTAAGGAGCAACGTAAAATTTGACACAGGACAGAGAATGCCTTAAAAGTACAATTGGAAATGATACAAAGATACAATTAAGAACTATTTAAGTGACCAGAGACACAGTCAACTCTTGCCTCACAAAACAGAGTAAGGATTAATTTAACAATTTCAACATCTGTTCATTACAGGTTCTCAAAGTATAGCAACAATAAATTAGGGAGCACGCAAGAGTTCTTTTTTTTTTTTTAGGGTATAA